TATAGGTAATTATTTACTTTACCTTGAAGATGGAGACAGAAGGTTCCTCCTAGGCGTTCGTAGCTATATACAAGACTACACGGCGTTATGACCCAGAAGAGAGTGATTTTAATTAAACTAATCTCAAATAGATTAAGCTTTTCGTGTTTATTACAGATTATAAACACCATAATATTGCTTCTACATTCGATTCCCGATGAGTTCACTGGATTTTTCAATTGACCTAATCCTTCCAGCCACACTATGACATTGAGGTCGACTCAGCCTCTAACAGAAATGAGTACCAGGAATCTACCTGGGGGTAAAGGGCGGCCGGTGCATAAGGCTGACAACGTTACCTCCATCTGTGAGCCACTGCCTAGAAAATGTCGGAGCCTCGACGTATCACAACTCTACGGACCGTTACGGTATGTTACAGGGATAGCTTTCCTTCACTTTACCTCTATTTTTCTCCTCTTTCATCTACATTGGCCAATATTTACATTTGGGGAGGTCATATGTTAATGACAACGTACACCCTACGTGTAAAATATTAAAATGTTGCATTTTTCATTTTCATTTCATTTTTCATAGTTTGGTATTATTAAATAATGTTCTACACAGATACTCGTCTAGATACAAGATCAACCTACAAGAGAAAACAGAAAGACGCAAGACAACGCATAAGTGTCGAGCGGAACGAGTAATCTAGAAACCAGCACAAATTCAACATTATTTGGTGTTCGTGTACGAACTGTGGTGACCGTGGACACAAATCTGGGCTCTCTGAACTTTGGGATACATCGCAATTCTTTTTAAAAACAAAACGTAACAAAACGTGTAGCTTGCTTGTATCATAACTGATGTTCCATAAAGGCAAGGTTGCCCTGTGCTTAAATAATTAAGCAACACGCCATGAAAACGCATGGAGAAGCGGAGGTATAGTTCACATTTTTTGACCTCGGTACTAGATGAAGGTGAGTGGTCAACTTCACGTCCCGGCCGCTTTATTCCCGGGAAAAGAGCCCTAGGTACATATTAGGTAGGCTGGGTGGGCCCCAGATTCGGTGTGGACACTGTGAAGTAGAAAAAAAGTCTCTTGCCCCTGTTTGCAATCGAACCAAGTCCTTAGCCCGTGAATATGCTAACACGGATTCTCGTCTTACATTGTGCAGAGTACTACCCTCATCATAATACTTTCTTCATCACAGCAGTCTACCAAAAACAATTTTCCTAAAGAACGCCTCTCCATGACATGGAAATTACTGGAAAAGTGAGTTTACATTATGAAACCTCACGATACGAACACGTTTTCAAGAACATTTCTCTTCTGTACTGCGGGGGCAAGATGTACATAGCGAGAGATACTGCAATTAGGAGAAGAGGGTTCAAATTCCTGGCTCATTTACATTAGTGTGTGGCAATGACACACTGAATATACAATACTGTGGCCTATGTTGAGACTATGAACGCACGCGCGCGCGCGCACGCACGCACGCACATAAAACTTCATACTTCCCGGTCCAGCCAGGGGAATTTATCTGTTACGTGTGATCAACATCACAGAGGAATACACTTAGTTTGATTAAATGTTATTAAATAACTGTCCTTGTATCTGGGTTAAAATTACTGTAGTTGTTTCCGACTTACATGACAGGTCAACATCCGAGGATTTTAAACAGGACCATCTCAAAAGCTTAATCACGAATTGAGGTTATGTGTGAAGGATGCAAACACATAATTTAGACCACTGACGCGTAAACTACCGCCGACCTATGATGGGGACGAGAATGATTTTCTGAGCTGTAACGCCGTGGAGTTGGGAGAGAGTCCGACATTTCAGAAGTGAATATCGCCTCCATCTTCAGGGTCGAAGAGTAAACAAAGTAAGAAACCAGAAGAAACAGTTGGCCAGTTGAGAAAGCCTCATTTGTTGGCGGTGTTTCCTTACTCTATGGGTTAATTTCATGGCACTGTCGGCAGCTTGACTAAACAACACACACTGCACAGTGGTTGGACTGCTCAATGATAAAGATGTGGAGGGATTAGTCATGGCCTAAACAAGGTACTGTCCTGGAAGTCGTCTGGAGGAACTGAGGAACACCAAGAAAACTTCTGCAATAATAACTGGCGATCCAGCAGATATTCAACACAAGTACCTTCCGAATTTGAACCGAGCACTTCCTGAATATAGCATGTCATAATATAAATTATTACTGTCAACTTCAAATCTCGCACTATTGGAGCGTAATTTTCCTCTAAAATAACCGTGTTATGAACCTTAAGGTCGGAAAACAAAGTTACCATAGGTAAAAATTAAAGCTATCCCTGTAACAGGTCCTGAAGACCCATAGGGTTCTGAGACGCTGAGGGTCCCACATTATCTAGACAGTATGCTCAGAGATGGCGGTAAGGTTGTAAGCCTTAAGCGCCGGCCGCGCTTTACTCCCTACGAAAATTATTTAATTAATTCCTGGTACTCATTTCTGTTAGAGACTGAGTCGACCCCAGGGCCATAGCGTGACTGGAAGGATTAGGTCAATTGAAAAAATCCAATGACCTCATAGGGACTTGAACCCTCGACCTTCTGGCTTGTAGCATAGTGCCTCACCCAACAGGCCCATTAGCTCAGTTTGTTAGAGCTTGCCATAGTATCACAAAGTTACCATATGATGTAATTATTAGATTATCCTTCACTATCCATGCAGGTTGATCCGTCAATAGAGATACGACCATAATTAATGTTACCAATCTGATTTAATGATTATACAATATTCAGACCATAACTCGACAGACTTTTAAGGAAAAACCAGAGAAGTAGATTTAATCCATAGGCCCGTACATGGAAGGGAGACAAAGAAATCCATCCTCTAAAATTTAAAAAATTCTAAATCGAAAAAGAAGGAAATATTTTCGAAAACTAAAATTATTTTTAAATGCGGTTCCATCTATGTTTCAATACACAAATCACAAGTAAATACACAAGTAAAAACATTCTTAAACAACTTAAATGTTAGCTTATAAACAAATTCTTGTCCCTACTCAGAGAAATCCTGACAGTACTCAGGATTCACTGTGGTATGATACTTGAGTGCGTATTTTCAAACTCCACATTTTCAAGTGTATTTAAATGTTAGCGTCCATTGTTTATCTTCCGTCAAAATTGCAACACTTTTACATTCTACACTTCAACACTACATGTTTCGGCCCCAAACGGCCATCTTCAGGTGTTTTTATATTATTGTTAAAATCACACGCTGGAGTCTTCCTTTTAAGTAAAACGAGATAAANTATTATTATTATTATTATTATTATTATGTTATGTTTGTTTACTTTTTATACTCACATGCTCCTGGTTTGTGTGTGCTTCCTCTACAGCGTGTGGTGTTGTCTTTACTAGTGCCAATGCGGTGTAATTGTTCCTGTATTTATATGCTCGCCTTACAAGGTATAACAGGAGCACCATGGTACGTATCAAATAAAACCACCCACGAAGACCTCAATATACCCTTCATAACGGATGAGATCAAAGAAAAAGCTAACAAATACCAAAACCGGATTACAGGCCATGAGAACCGACTAATCGATGAACTATCGAAACCACACGCTACTATAAATTTTACCATAGAGAAAGAAGAGCATCAGTCTATCGGTTTCCTAGATCTAGTAATACATCGAAATGACAAAAACCTTGAATTTGCAATATATCGAAAACCTACGCAAACTGACATTATAATACCAAACAGTTCATGCCACCCACACGAACACAAACGATCAGGCATAAACTATTTACTAAATCGATTGTATACATACCCAATAACGAGAAAAGCAAAAGATATAGAAATGAACACAATTCAAAATATATTACACAACAATGAATGACAGAAAATAAACTAGCAACATATCTCCTCACAAGAAACAAAAACAAAACACACAGGAAAACTCACAGCAACAAAAAACAAAGTGGGTAGCCTTTACGTATAGCGGAAAGGAAATAAGAAAAATCACAAAACTGTTCAGAGATACGGAAATAAAGTGGCTTTCCGTATGCGAAACACAATACAAAATATACTAAAGCCACAGTCACAAACAGATAAGTATAATAGAAGTGGAATCTATCAAATGAAATATTTAGAATGCCCATTAAAATATGTCGGACAAACAGGAAGAACATTCAAAACGAGATATGAAGAACACATTCACGACATAAAAAGTAACAATAGTAACTCAGGATATTCGACTCATACATTGGATACCGGACACAGGTACGGCACAACAACAGGCACCATGGAAACCATAACAAAGAGGAAAAAAAGGAAAACATCTAAATACACTTGAGAAATACCATATTTACAAAACTAATAAAAAAGATACATGTGAATGACACAAACATCGACATACATAACCCTTATTTGAAATACTATACAAAATTACATAACACAACACTATACCCCCCTCCCCCTTCACTCCCCACTCCTCACAACCAGAGAATATAAATACAGGAACAATTACACCTCATCAGCACTAGTAAAGACAACACCACACGCTGTGGAGGAAGCGCACACAAACCAGCAGCATGTGAGTACAAAAACTAAACAAACATAACATAACATAATAATAATAATAATAATAATAACAAATATAAACAACATTAATATAAGAATTTATAAATTACAGATGGCAGTCAAAGACTGAAAGTAGACTACGAACGTGAGGGGCAAGCTGCCGAGAAAAACACCTTGATACATTTACGAAAATGACGACACCCTGGGCGAGGTGAAATAACATGTAACAGAAATGTTAAAGGATTTTATCTCGTTTTACTTAAAAGGAAGCCTACAGCGTGTGATTTTAACACGAATTAAAACAGTGTAGCAATTTTTAACACAATTTTAGTAAAATATCTGTAACATAAAAACACCTGAAGATGGCCGTTTGAGGCCGAAACATGTAGTGTTGAAGTGTAGAATGTAAAAGTGTCGCAATTTTGGCGGAAGATAAACAATGGACGCTAATTTGAACAATTACAACGGGATGCTGAAATACAGAAGTATTTAAATGTTATTTAAGTATGTAAGCACATACAGGGGTTTTCATTGTAATTTAATATGTTACAGCGGTCTCTGCTAGACTTCGTAATGGTCACATAAGAATACAGCAAAACAGACCTACAATTCTGTAATGTTATGGAAAGGAGGATAACGTAAGTGTAAGTCAAAATGAGGTACATGAATTATAATATTATAATATGAATTTCCCTCATTAAAACTATCAGACAAACTGAAGATGTCACAAGAACACGATATTTGTATTCAGTAACAAAATGGAACACACCATTACACAGATGTGTAAATCAGAAGACCTTCCGAATTTGATGAGTTCACTTGTCTCCTTGTTGTTCTGAAATAAAGCAAGTCATGTTGTCCCTCTATATAATTAAGCACCATACCATGAAATCAGATGGCGGGAGTGGAGGTATAGCTCCACGTATATTTGCTTCGGCGCTAGATGGTAGTAAGTGGACAGATGTATGCCCCCTTCCACGGTACCCACCGGACTGAAGCCTGGGTTGGCCGAAGAGCCAGATTGGTCACTGTGAAGAGACAAATATCCTGTCCGTTCCAGGGATCGAACCCCGATTCCTCGGACATGCACCCCGACACACCTAACTATAAAGTGTGAACTGTTGCGGTGGCCGGGACATCTCAGTCGATACAACAACTAGACTATGGACTGGGCGACCAAAATATTGAGGTTCGATTCCTGACAGGAACATGAGATTTTTTCCAGACTAGCTCTGGGCCCCATTCACCTTCCTTTCCAGTGATTACTGAGAGTTCCTTCATTGGAGACAAAGCGGCAGGAACGTAAAAATAACAACATCCGGGAAGCGCTGAGGTAAAGTTTCACATCCGATCGCCCATACAGCCTCGTGGCGTGGTGCTTAATTAAGCACAGGAAAAATTTTAACCGTTTACTGTGATTCTTGCATATCAGAGAAAGAAACATGTAACTGTATCTGTCATGATATTCTGAAGCCGAACCATTATTCATACTCCATAAAGTGACATTTAGGTACCATATATTTGTTTCCATGCCACCACAGAATTGTGATGAATGTGAACAGCAATACGCGAGTTAAAAATATCAGCTGAACACAGAAACTAACAATCAAAAGTCATGGTATATATAGTATATGGCTGTGACGTCCGATAAACGCAAACAATCTCGATCTTTATTTGCAATACTGATTTCGTTTGTTTGTTGAATTAATTTTCACCACTACACCTGCACAATTTGACGCGTGTCTCGAGTACTAAAAATCGCATTTTGGTATCCGAAATGCTGGTCTGTAAAATCTTGATTTGAAACTAGATTTCAGTCTACTTTTAACCGTTCTAAGAGAAGGCGCCGGAATGGGCTCCTCTAGGGGAGGCGCCATGTCCTCATCCTCCACCGCCGCCAGCCTCTGCAATTTATGTCTGTGTCGCTTCGGTCTGGGTGGGGCGCTGAAACTTGCAGTACTGATGCTGCTGCTACTGGACTGACTGTGGTTGAAGGGCACCAAGTCTGGTACCACGCCACTGTCTACAGTTACGTCACTGAAGTTAGAATCTTGCCGCACCGTGGTGTCGCTGTGTCCAGAATCCTGACGTGTCACCATCACTTCCGGGTCAACCGGCATACAGTTCTCCAGGGACGCTGATAAAGCAGAAAATCGTTCCAGCGATGTCTCCTGAAACTAGAGGAAATTTAAGGTACTCATCATGGTGAAAATGTAACCCAGAATGTCTTGGGATGACACCTCATAGTGTCGTAATCGATAATTCGGAGGAACCTGATGCCTCCGTGTTCCGATTGAGGTAAAAACTGCTTCCGAAACATTCCAAACAACTTAACGAAAACTACGCGGTTTCTCAAGACATTTGTTATATTTCTTGATAAATTGTCTTATGTTATGATGAGGTTTGTATGATTTGAGGAAGGTTCTCTCGCAGCAGTGGTTAAGAAGAATTCTGTCTTCTGGAAAATAACGAGGTGTCGCTGGACTAAATAGCGTTATATCTCAGAAAACAGGACTCTTCATGATGAGAACTGCCCACGAAATCATTAAAATAAAATACTTAATATTTTTAAACTTTACTTTATACTCAGGGTCTCGTTAAGGCTTAATCCAGTCCTGTCAAATTATGAAGATGTGAGTTTCACCCCCAGCTTGTACGCCCAAATGATTCTGAGTACTGTTCTCACCTGGAACATCGCAGCTGATCTGGGTCCTGTTCGCACGCCGTCATTCGTCTGCTCCTCCAACTCAAGCATGACGCCGTCATTCTTGCTAGTCGCTGGGTCATTGTTATTGTTGTTTTGTGGAAAGACCTGTTGAGGGATATCAAGTGATGTCGCTTCCTCTCCATAGTCTACTAGCCGTCGATCCACCGAAATCATGTGATGAGGTGTCTCCGGATCACTCCCTGGAGTCAATTCCTCCCCCGAACTGCCCTGTCGCCCTATTAAGAACTGTTGTCTCCGTTGAGACACTGTCATCTTCACCAGAGATGACATCGGATTGCTGGTGACTGGAGGAGTTCCCCTACCGTCTGTGCCGTCGGAGTGTCGGACCAGTGGATGCCCACTTCCGGAAGAGGAGTCTGAGCTCTGGCGAATGCAAGTCTGACAGCGTCGCTGAGGAAGGAATGCAAGTCGAAACGTCACACTCTCGCGTCTTGTCTTCGCCACCGGTTTTCCTGCAGACGGATTTTCTCCAACATTTTGCTGTGTTTCATCCCCGTTAGGACTCTCAATCACTTCATACGTGGCTACAAAATCCGCTGTACCTGGTCCATTTGCAGCCACATTTGCATTCATACAATGATGACAGTCAGAGGAAGACGTCAATGCTGCAGTTGGGATGTGGAAACTCTGAACAGAAACACTGTCACAATAAGAGAGAGACTGACGACGAAGAGAGAAATTGTCGTGGTGAACAGGCGGAGGGCCAAAACTATTTCCAGCTGCTACGGCCTTCCCGTTGCTGCTGTAGGTCTCAAAGTCCCGACTACATCGGGCAACATTGCCGCCATATTTGCCACTTCTTGGTCGCCACCAAAGCAGCACTTTAACAGCCTCCTTGCGGGCTGCCTCATTACGGAATACATAAATGAATGGCGTGACGCATCCGCTGGAAAGGGCAGTGAGTAGCGCAAGAGAGCGGAATGGCTCTGGAACAAGGTTAGCTTCTATCTTATAAGAGTCTACAGTGGCGCCAACCCCGCCCCAGGTGTCGATTAGTAGGGTTACAAAGTATGGCGTCCAACAGAAAAGGTACGATGTTATAACCATGGCAGCGGTTTTCACGGCGCGGCCCTCTTCACGGAAAAGAAGTGCAGAGAAACTGGCATTTGAGGGCCGTCTTTTTGGCATTCCTATAGACAAAGGCGGGCTTTTCCATGGTCGTCGAAAATTCTCAGGTGTTCCTGATGAAGCTGGAGGAACTGATAAGTCTAGAGAACCCCCTCTGCTGGCAACCACTTCGCCGGGGTTCGCAGAGATGCTGTGCCGCCGTGTGCGTTCGCTGTTCCTGTGAGCTGCATTGTACATCCGGGCGTAGATCCAGCACAGAGCGAACAAAGGCAAGGTGAAGCCCAGGGTGACCAGCACCAATGCATACGTGAGGCGGAACACTTCGCCTTCATCCCCAGCTGTGCAGTTTGAATAATGTACAGCCACTGTGGCAGGGACGGGTGAAAGGAGGGCGCCCAGGAATGGCGGGGTGGCCAGCAACCCTGCGACTCCCCAAGCACCGGCGATCATTGCCCGGCTCCTTCCTCTGGTAATTGTCATGGCATAATGGAGAGGACTCAGAACGGCGTTGTAGCGGTCAACAGCAATGGCGAGCACGGAGAAAATGGCTGCCGTAACAGCAAGCGTGGTGAGGCCAGAGCTTACCTGTCGCAACCACGACAGTGCTGCCACTTCATGGTGCAACACTTGTACCAGCAGGATAGGAACGACAATGAAGGATGTCATGAGGTTCGCCAGCACCAGGCTGAGAACGAACCTGCAACAAACAACAGAGGCCATGACAATCCTTACACTGCCCTGCGCAAGTACTTGCCTGCGATTTGGAGACGTGGACTCTCTCGTGTCCCTAGGTGCAGTCTGCACGTAACAGCAAAGGAATATAAGCGCTGCATACACAATTTAGTTGTAAAACCAGACAGGAAGAGACAATTCGTGACACTTATGCAAACACAGATGCATAATATTAAATGGACATTAAGCAAACAAACACTGAGGGTGTAATCCTTTAAAGCACAGTGGTAAGTATAATAAATTCTAACATTTTAAAATCTATGCTTTTTCCAAAAGTGTATTTATCAATTTAATTTGAACCCAAAGAGTGACTTTTCCCCCCACTACACAGCTTCAAGGGGCACGCGGTAGCGTAGTTGGTTTAGGCACTATGCTACAAGCCGGAAGGTCGCGGGTTTAAGCCCCCCTGGGTCATTGATTTTTTTTTTCAATTGACCTAATCCTTCCGGCCGCACTATGGCCCTGGGGCGACTCAGCCTCTAACAGAAATGAGTACCAGGAATTAATTAAATAATTTTTCTGGGGAGTAAAGTGCGGCCGGCGCGTAAGGCTGACAACCTTACCGCCATCTTTGAGCCGATTGTCTGGATAATGTGGGACCCTCAACGTCTCACAACCGTATGGGCCTTCACGGCCTGTTACAGGGATAGCTACACTTTCACACAGCTTTAAGGAGCTGATTCTTGTATCACAGGTAGTATGCTTTCTGTAACAAAGGAACTGCATCTTTAAAGGTTATCAGGTGAGCCGCGTGCTTCAGCAGAGTTAACTGGATTCATCTGGAGCAGGATGGGGTCCAGTGACGGGCTCTTAAGACAATGAACCTTCAGCTACCATAACAGGTGGAGAGTCTGAACTATCATAACCTATTTGTGAAGATATATTTTAACAAAATCCCTCCATCTAAGACTTGGATTACCAGGTTGTCTCTTCCATTCAGATTTTGAGATAAAAATTGTGTATGGATAACTCATCTCTCCATTGAGGGCTATACGTCTCGCCTATCTCATGTTCTTTCCGCCACTCCAATATTCTGCGTAATGTATAAGTTATAATCATTTTAAGATGATGTGTAAGCTACAATTAAAAATGTCTACTTCCTTGCGCTTAATAATAATAAACTACAGTTAGTATTTCCTCTTTTACGATCCTTTTTAATCTGGATAAGAATACAAAAATCATTACATAACAGTTAACTGTCGTTGCAACTTTCTTACACTCTTTCTATGGAAACGAAATGCAAAAGCAATTTATCAAACATAAAATTTACTATGAGGGATATCCGGAAAGTAAAGATGCAAGTCCAGAACAAATGCAAGAGATTTTATTCCCCACTCAAATGGCAGTGCTGCCGTGAGAGATTGGAACCATATTACAGGGCTGAGTTCACAGTCCACAGTCACGGCAACGCTGTGTTCGCAGGATGTGTTTAAAATGGCCTTGAAGATTCGAAATCCCGTCAAATATGAGGTTCGTGCAGTAATTCGATTTTTTCACGCGAAAGGAGAAACTGTTATTGAAATTCATGGACAAATTGTTTCTGTTTAACGCGAAGATGTTATGAACATGTAGATTGTAGATTGGTGTACTCAATTTGAAGCCGGAAGAAGTGATGTTCATGATGAAACAAGGAGTGGAAGGCCATCTGTTGTCACTGATGAAATTATCCAAAAACTTATGAAAACATTCATGCTGACAGACGTCTAACCATCGATGAACTTCATCAACAGTGTCCAGAAGTGTCAAGAACTGTTCTCCATGTCTAAGAGAGCAGGAGGGAGTCGTCTACGACGCTGAAATAAAAAAAAACTCCTTCACAGGCTCACTAAGTGCATTGCGATCCATGGTGACTATGTTGAAAAGTAAATAAAGGTGTGTTGTAAAAGTGCTACAAGTGAATTAAAAAAATGCAAATATTTTCTGGGTTTGTATCTTTACTTTCCGGATATCCGTATTTCGGTCCGTATGAGATAATAGGAGCATGAAGACTCGAAGTGGGCAATGTACCAAGGAGGCCTTGCAATAGGTAAATAGTTTATCATACAGAGGACGGCTGTGCATCTTGTAGTCCTACTTGTTTTGCATAATTTACGTAGGTTAAGTCAATGCTTTTAAATACGTGTTGCAGTTTATTTTTGGTAATGACTGGGGACCAACTGAATCAACAGGAAGGCGATTATACGAGTATCCACGTTAAATTCAGAAGCAAGCAACACAGCAAAATCAATTAATTAATTAATTCTGAACCACATAATCAAGAAACAAGAACAGCAAAAATTAATATCATTTCAGAAAAAGGATTGGCTAAAAAAGGGCCTTGATAAAATTAATCTCTCTAGAATATGCCTATTCAAAGAAAATTAGACGACAGTGTAAGATCCTTGTGTTACGGATCAGATGTTGGGGCAGTCACAGAACAACTGCTGAAGAATCTAGAAAGATTTCTCTGAAATCGGGAGCAAAATTAATTACCCACATGNGGGCTTTTTTTTTTTTTTTTTTTTTTTTAGTTTCTTGGGGTAGGGTGTGACTGAGTCCACCTGGTACGTGGGCCACTAAGTGGCCTATTTTACCAGCCCCTGACGATAGATGATGATGAGAGTGGAGCAGTCGGTGAAATGAAAATTGGTAGGGGAAACCAAAGTACTCGAAGAAAACATCCACCAGTGCCACTTTGTCGACCACGAATTCCACACGACTTGACATGGGCTGGAACCCGGGCCACCGCGGTGGGAAGCCGGTGACTAACTGCCTCAGCTTTGGCGTGGCTCTCAGCTATCTAACTATTGCTCTACAGCCCCTGTGGACCTTAGACGCTTTTTCAGTTTATTAATCTATACACAGTCGATAGGACTCCTTTGACGGGGCATCAGCCAGTCGCAAGGACGATACCTATACACAGAACACAAGCATCCATGCCTAGAGTCGGATTCAAACCCACGACCCTAGTGTTCGTGCGGGAGAAGTCGGTTCGGCGACATACAGATATATGGGCTTAATTAGTCTAGCCAAGGCCAGTGTTTGTAGCAAAGTTTGCCAGACTCTTGTTTCTATGGGAACCAAATGGAAAACTAATCTCAATACCTTACGACAAAAGGAGAATGCCGTAATGAACGACGCTGTTAAAGTGTCATAGGGGCACGCGGTAGCGTAGTTGGTTGAGGCACTATGCTACAAGCCGGAAGGTCGCAGGTTCAAGTCCCATTGAATTTTTTCAATTGACCTAATCCTTCCAGCCGCATTATGGCCCTGGGGTCGACTCAGCCTCTAACAGAAATGAGTACGAGGAATATTCTTGGGGGAAATGGGAGGCCGGCGCGTAGGGCTGATAACCTTGTCGCCATCTATGAGTCGATTGTATAGAAAATGCGAGAACCTCGATGTCTCACAACCCTATGAACCTCCACGGCCTGTTACAAGGATAGCATTTCTTACTTTTTATTTGCTTTCATTAAAGTGTCATCAGTAGACATTACGGCGTCGACCTTCGTCGCTTACAAGTACACCTACACCATTCTGTCTTAGGTTATTTAACGATGCTTTCGGTATCGAGAAAATTTAACATCGGATGCGGTGATTGTAGACTCCCAGTCATCATATGCTAATGAGTCACGCATGACTCGGAAACAAGAATGACTTTGCTGGCGACGACCAGCAGCAATTTACCTATCGTCGTCGACTAATGAATGAAAAATTTAAAAAGGGTACGAAAGGAAGTGGTGGTGGCCTAACTGAGGTATTATTCCAGAATATGCCTGGAGGGAATGAAGAAAGCAAAGAAATCTTCAGTAAGGATAGCGGTGTCCCACCGGAGATTCGAACATAGCACCTATCGAACACACGTCGGGAGCGCCATCTCTAGACCAGAGGTTTCTAAACTCTTTCGGACCACCGCCCCCTTGGTTACATAAACTCCTCCCCAGTAGCCCCTTCTTCAGAACAGCTGTTTGCACAACCCACTAAGGAAGACAATAACAATAAAATCAAATGCTACATTTAGTAACTACTTCACTGTTAGCAAATTCTTGATGCGATGGATGGGCTTGTCTGGTCTAAACTCACTTCAGTAGTAAATAAGCGAACAACACGTTCGCAGAAGCCCACCTCTAGCGCAACCATACCGTCCGGCCGCGCCATAGCTCAAGCGGTTAGTCGCTGGCTTCCCACCGTGGCGGCTCGGGTTCGAACCCGGATCAGGTCAAGTGGGATTTGTGGTGGACAAAGTGGCGCTGGGCGGGTTTTCTCCGAGTACTTTGGTTTACACTGCCAATCTTCATTCCACCAAATTCTCCATCATCATAATCACCCGGGGCAGGTACAATAGGCCAATCAGTGGCCGCCGTGCCTAGTGGACCCAGCTGGACTCCCCCACTAAGCGAATTAAAAAAAACCATACCGCCTCCTCGTACAGCCCACTTTTGGAACCACTGCTCTAGACCAACCTGTATGGCCTCTAGATTATTATTATTATTATTATTATTATTATTATTATTATTATATAAACTGCCTTATTTTATATTTTGTAAGTATTTGTTGTTTCTTTCTATGTTCTCGTGCTAACTTTGTAATTGGCCTCTGGGATGTTACGTTTGCAGGTCAGTAACAGAGAACTGAATTGAATTATTACTACTACTACTACGGGAGAGGGTCAGTAAACAGTCCATAAATGGATGTAAAACAGCTGTAATGGTCGTAATAGGGCTTCTGTGTGTATCACTAGGTAGCAGCACAGTCCAGCTTCATGACGGTCTAGGTAGCAGACGCGCATGCGCAAGTTCGGAGGCTAGTTTCAGTAGTCAAAATTGTGACCGTGTATGAGGAGTGTATTACGGAAGAGCAGCGTTCTGTTGTGTGTATTTTGTGGACAAATGGGCTCAACGCAAAGAATATCCACAAAGAAATGTTTCCTGTTTCCGGTGGAACTGTTTGTCGCGCAAAGCAGTTCCACCCTGGTGGCAAACGTTTCGCTGATGAAGGATAGGTTGAGACAACAGTCAAAAGACTTCTTTGCTGCGGGTTTCGACGCACTGGTAAAGCCATGGGACAAATATATTAATGTTGGTGTCGAGAAACAAATGCTTTCTTCCAGGTTCGAATATCACATGTTTTACCTTTTATATCCATTTGTGGCCTTTTTACTGGCTCTAATTCGTATATCAAGAGCAGTCTTTCCAGACATGTTGAAGTTTACGTTTTGTGAAATCCTGACCTCAGAATGTCCTTCAGCGGGCTATAAAATGCAAGAATGGATAAACGAAAGGGTTGCCTATGGAAACCATTTGCAGAGATTAGAATTCCGAATTTAACCGTTAGATTTAAACGGGAATTTCACTAGTTGGGTCTGAAGTTTCATGTTAATGACGGCCGACCGACTGACTGACCTGTTGGAAGGCGACCTCAGAGCAGGGCGACGGTGGAACACGATGGAGACCAGGATGTTAGCTCCAGAGCCCACCACGGACAGCACAATGAGGGCTGTCGCCTGCAGTGGCCTAGCGGTGTCCTCAGACGTCTCCTCCTGGTCCGGCACTGAAACCACAAGCAAACGACTCTATGAAGCCGTGAAGGTTCAAACCATGACTGCAGTTTTATATGGAAGGAAAGGGAATGTTTGGTGGGCGATGCGTAGAAAATTTGGTCCTCAGTGACAGGAAGTATTGACTGAAAGGGTTAAATTTATTGTGGCGTATAGACACACTGCTGAGGAGTGACTCTGTAAACAGCGGCCGTTTCTGGGCGATGGCCCGGCAAACACGCTCCCTTGTTAGGCAGCAGATTCTTAATGCAGCAGTTGGATTACAACAATGAAAACGGGGTGTTTTTTGTGTGATACGTGTCGAGATGTTATAAGCAGCGGACAAATTTAGTTGAGCGCCAGTTGAGTTCTGTATGGGAGGCTACGAAGAGATAACCTGAGAGAGTGAAAGTTGAAGAATCTCCACTGCTAGAAGCCGTTGCCAGTAAACGGCCGGTGAAAGAAAAGCTTAGCCGGTGCTGTGCTGATCTGTGAATTGTGAAGATTAGCAGTGGCGTTGTAATTACTTGTAGTTCCGAGTCGTCTGTATAAGTCGTCAGTAAATCCATTCACCAATCCGAACCCCGTCTATAGTCACGCATGGAAAAGTGAGCGAATACGGAGTTGGGGGGGTCAAGACTAAGGAATGAGAAATTTGTATAAAACACACGATCGGTAGCGGATATCAAAAGGAGAAGACTTGACTGCTTGGAGCATATGATTGAACTAAACCCAACGAAAGCGGCTATGAAGAATTCTGAAGAAGAAGGAAAGAATGAAAATACCCAAACTGATATGGCTGGAATATGTAGAGAATGATTTACGAGAGCTACAAATGAAGAGATGACGAATAGTCAAGTATTTTAGACAAACGTAGCGGCAAACGACACGCGAGGAATTAGGAGGCTGGAGAAAATTACATAATAAGAAACTTCATAATTCGCATTCCTAACCAAATGATGTTTGGGCGATCAAGTGCAGGAGGATGAGATGGACTGGATATGTAGCGCGCATGGAAAAGATTAGAAATTCACACAAAATTGTGGTTAGAAAACACGGAATAAACAGGCGTAGGTGTAGGATCTAGGTGTATAGGGTATTATGATATTACAGCGGAACATGGAGAAATAGAATAAAAGATGAGGATTGGATTCATCTGGCTTGGGATGGAGACCAAATGCTGGTTTGAGGGAACACGGTAATGAATATTTGGGTTCCCTAAGAGGTAAGAAACGACTAGCTGTGAGACCAGTGTCTTCTGAAAAAGGGCCCTGTTCTGCGGAATTAGTTTTGGAGAAGAACCAGGGTGAACTGTTAGGCGGCACAGACAGACAAATTCTCAATCGATAACCCGCATAAAAAGGACAAGGAAGTACTGCGATAGTCCATTCTGCTGTCGAAGTTACGAATGCGTGGGGATATGCCCACATTTTCTTCATAAGGAATTGTCTCAGGGACTGCGGACACACTTGGGCCTTCAATCTTATTGCGAGGCGTAAGCACAGCGGCATCGCACAAAAGTTTGTACACATCTATCTGAACCCGGAACCGCGTGTCTGACAGCTCTGGTACGATCTCCTTCAATATTTACTGTTCTGTACCCCTCACTTATCGACAGTCCATAAGATGCACAATAAAATGATAAAGGTAGCCCTGTAACAGGCCGTGGAGACCCCGAGGTTGTGAGATGTCGGGGCTCTCACAAATTCTAGACAATCGGCTCACAGATGGCGGTGAGGTTGTCAGCCCTAAGCGCCGGCCGCCCTTTACTTCCATAAAGATTCCTGGCACTCATTTCTGTTAGAGACTGAGTCGACACCAGTGCCATGGTGCGGCTGGAAGGATTAGGTCAATTGAAAAATCAAATGACTTCAACGGAAATCGAACCCGCGACCTTCCAGTCTGTAGCATAGTGACTTAACCAATTAAGCTACCGCATGCCCCCGTAAGATTCATAATTTCAGCATCAGTTCTGAATGGAAAGAACCACTGAATCGATTAGAGCTATGATTGAAGGAGTCTGAGAGCCGGGGTTCGGGTCCTGGCAAGGGGAAGCGTTTTCTTTTCTCCCCAATGTCGAGACTTGCTTTCTGGGGCCCACCCAGCCGCTTACATAATGGGTACCGGAGGCTATCCCCAGGGGACAAAGCGGCCGGGGCATGAAGATGACCACTCACCTCCATTTAATGCAGAGGTAAAGAATGATGGAGCTATACCTTCACTCCCTCATACGTCTTCATGTCGTGGTGCTAAACTTTAAGCACAAGGAATACTTTTCTGTCGGTCACTGTGTTCAAGGACCAATAATAAAGATCGAAATTTATTTTCATCGAAAATAATAAACTATAGAGGTTCTACAATCAGAAATTCTATTAATTTATTTTTGTCTCTGACTTATATAACTATGCTGTCAATAATTCGAACTACACAGCTTCGAATGACTGGATGATTTTGAATAACGAATTGTAAATTATGTTGAAGGAAGCGGTCGTGGCCCTATTTTATGCACTATTCTGGCGTACAGACCCAAGCACGAAACAATTTCTGAATCATGAGGGAAGAAGACAGCAGCGCGCTACTTGTTCGGCTGTGCGCAGAAAACTGACGCAGTAGCCGTATGTGCAGCGAAGTGACTACCAGGATCATATGATGCTCATCACAGGGTCACCACCGAGTGTAGCCAGTCCCTAGGGCCAAGTAACGAAGTTGACAGCTATTAACTAGGCGAAAAGGGAAACCCGAGAAAAATACGAGAAAAAATAACGTAGTTGTAACCAATTACGTTAGAAGAGTATCATGTTCTGCGAAGTCATGTAGTGTGGTAGATGTTTGTCGACGTTTCGGTGGAACACTAATTCCATTTTCAGGGCTTATGAGTAGGCAAAACCGCCAAGCAACAAGTTTTGTTCTTCTTGGTTGTCTGGCTTACTCTTCGGTACTGATGATGGTTACAGTAATTTCTATCGAAATTTTTATCAGAATACACGGCGTCACATCCCACGTTAACCTTAAACATGATCTAAATGAGAAGTTAATAGCACCGAGTTGTCTTCTACGACAGTCTCATGGGCAAATGCAGTCTTTTAAGTTGTCAGGTCCATCCAGTATACGTGTGGGGAGGCGTCAAGATTTATTCCCTTTGACGTACCAGAATATTGAGTTCCTGGTGAGACATTTGTTAACGTTGTAAATCCTTTTGAAGTCTCTCTGAGCCTGAATTATGGAACCAGACTTCAAGCAACACCTACAGTCCCAGTTTCCTATGTCTGATGACTTCTCATCCGCTCACCAATCCCAATAAATCTTACCAAAGTATCATTAATGTGAAACAGTGCGGACAGTGCTACGCAAAGCTGCAACACAGTTACCGGGTGGATAACCGACATTCGCTACCCGACAGCGGAAGAGGCTTTATTTTTCACAACAGCACTGAGTCTCACCGAGCCCTCTGTCCATTCAAGTGTGTCCTATCACGAGGATAAAACGGCCGGAACGTGAAGCTGGCCGCTGATCTTCGTCTGTCAAGTTTGACAACTCATGGAGATATGCAGCTATGATGCAGGACGGTTTAGTGAATGCAGTGATCAGGCTGCGAGTTGGACGAATGGGATATCAGGGTTCCATTCCTCGCAGAGGCCCACCTACCCCTCTGTCTAATGGGTACCGAGGGCTCATTCCGTGGGAATAAAGCTGCCGGGGCGCGAAGCTGAACATTCTTCTCCACCTAGTGTGAGCCTGGATAGCTCAGTTAACATAGTGACCAGAACACGGGCTGGCAGCACAGGAAATCTCAGCTCATTTTCCGGCAGAAACACAGAATCTTCTATTGTGCACAGCGCCCAACCCGACTGTGAGTCCAACCCACCTTCCTATCCAATGGGCAAAGGGATAAAGCGGCAAGAGAGTGAAGCTGACCAGTCACCTCTGTCTACTGACGAGGTTAGAATACATGAAGGTATAAAATAATTTTACCGTTAAGAGTTCTATCTTGTGGTAGCAGAGCGTGCTACACACTTCATGTCGGCTTGTTTGCTTGGCTTATTCTTCGACAATGAAGATAGAGGCGAAATATTCCTCCGAAACTTCGGCCGATTTTCAAGAACTCCACGTCGTTGTATCCCAGAACACAGAAACCTTCACGACCTCAGCTGTTACATCTTTACACTGGTATATTCGGAATCCTACAAGAGCCCAACCGGAAGTCATGGATTAAAGGCTGGCACTCTGCTCTGTGTCAGGTAGCCCAGAGGTTCAAACTTCGTCGTAGCCTCTAATATAATTTTAATATCCTGACGTATTTCTGTTTTGGTAATAAGAGTCATAAACATCGCTTTTAGCTTACTTTCTTTATTTTGAAAAAAATAAACAGGCTTATGATATCATCACGCTGTCTGTGTCTCTGTATGTTCCTCTTCTATCAACTTCTGAATACCTGGACCAATCTTTATAAAACTTGGTATGTACACAGTGTGTCCAGGTTCTGTTAGGACTGTGTTCATTAAAAATACAAGACGTGAATTATTTTCAAAATTTCACTTTTTTATTCAAAATAGTCTCCTTCTGAATCAATACATAGCCGGAATCGATTGGAACGTTTTCGAAAACAGTCACTGTACTCTTTTGTGGAATCGCATTTAAAACTGGGGTACATTCCCTTTGGATGTCCTGGATGGTGTCGTGATGGTCTCCTTTCATCGCCAACTTAACTTTTGGGAACAACCAGAAATCTGCTGGAGCCAAATCTGGCGAATATGGAGGGTGATCAGGGACTGTGATCCCTTTTCTGGCCAAAAAATCGTGCACGATCTTCGATTTGTGGGGTGGGGCACTGTCGTGGAAGAGCAACCAGGAACCTTGCTCTCGATATTCAGGTCGAATTCGAAGAATTCTCGCCCACAAACGATTGAGGAATTCGAGATAATAATCAAAATTCCTTGTGAATGATTCCTTTGGAATCGAAGAGAACGGTTAGCAGTGTCTTTACTCGACTCTTTTGCATGCGCACTTTCTTTGG